TTCCTGGCCCTCCCGATCCAGGATTTTCACAAACCCCTGCCCCTCGAGGGTAATGCTAAGGTATGGAAACCTCTGGTCTGGGAGTCTCCGTGGATCCCTCCAAACTAAGTTTTACTAAATCCACTTAAATAAAGATTTGTCCGTTCTATTAATTTTATTTTCTTATTCTGCAGCTTTTTTGTTTCAGTCAAAACCTTGATTTCCTGTTTCAGAAAAGAAAAAGCTTGCCTAGCGCTGCCTACATCAAGCTCTTGAACAAAGAACAGAATGCTAAAAGAAAAAAAAAAAGGCCCATTATCAAAGAGTCCTTGAGCACCACCTGCCGGTGCCCCTGACTGCACACACATTTCTACAAAAGCCATTCCTTGGAGCTACTGGAAGCTGGAGTGAGTGGAGGAGGAAAAGGAAGGGAAGCGTGAAGAAGTAGCTGGGGGGAACCACGGCATTCCTTATACTGGGACCACAAACTCCACGTGGATGTACACTTAAATATTCCAGTGGTTAATTTCTTTGGGGGGAGTTTGGGCGCCCTGGGGGTAGGTCTAGTGTCGGCCCTGACTTGATGTTCCCATAAACCGTGGGCCTCCAGCGCCCTACCCCTGGCCTTCATTCTCCCAGAGAATGAAGCCTGAGCAGGCCCTAGGAGCTGCTTCATTTCCCCACCCTCCGCCTGCAACAGACGTGTTCTGAGCCCCTGCCACATGAGACTCGGGAACCTGTGAGCTTAGCAAAATATCCCTTCAGTAGAATTCGGGCGAGTATGTGCTACCTCCCACGGTTGTTCCGGGAACAGCACAGGCTGCTCTGGGAATGCACAACAGAGACCAGAGTGCGGGGCAGCTCATGTTCTGCTCGGCCAGCGCCCCGTTTTTGGGATCTGCCCGCCTGGAGGCACGTAATGCAGTCTGCTGTCCATGAAGTGGCCTCAGGGCCTGAGTCCTGGAGGCTTCGTGTTGACCCCCCCAGGCCCTGAAATTGACTGGACTTGGGAACAACCCTCAGTCTGGAGGTTCAGAGGAAGCTTCCAGGCAGACAGAGTAACACATTAGGAGGTGGCTGGATTAGAGGGGAGGGAGCTTTTGGGGGTCGGATCTGGAGCTCCGGAGAGGCGGGGGTTGCCAATGAAGACACGGGTACTGATGGCAGAGGGGAGGAAGCCGAGACAGACGCCAGGTGGGATGATCCAGGGAAGTGGGTGGCATGCCAATGGGAGGGGCCTAGGATAGAGGCCCGGAGGAGTCCCAACTTCTCAGTGATGGGCAAAGGAGAAGCAGTCCGCCAAGGAGACCCTGCCCTAAGAGTCCGGAGCATTTCTGCAGAATGAGGGAGGGCATGGTCCGCTAAGAGCAGTCAGGTGGGATAAGCCCCAGGAGGCAGGCATTTACGTGGCATCACAGGGTTGCTGGGGACGTGGGGAGAGCGCTGTAGATGACAGATGTGCCAAAATGAACTCAGAGTGCGGCGGCCATGGGAGTGGAGGACACGTGGAAACGGGTTAAGTCCTTGGGGAGCGGACAGAGGGTGGTGCGTCACAGGCATCATCCGGGAGGACAGAGCTCCCGTGGGATGGAAAGGTCTGTGAGCCACCTCCGGAGCTGTGAACGGCTGAGGACTGACTGGGCGCATGACAGAGGGGGAGGTGGGGATGACACAGCCAGATGCCCAGAACAGCTGGGAGCTGGGCTTCTGCGTAAAGGAAGCCCAGCTAGGGTAAGGAGTGAAGCCATGAGAGAAGACACACACCTTCGTGCCTGTCCCAAATCAAGAGGCCCCCCTCTGCGCCACTCTGCTGCCAGAAAATCCTTTCTGTGTGGAGCTGAGGCTCACCAGGTGAGCCTGGGGGCAGCATGCAGACTTCTGAAGCCACACTGGGCAATCAGGAGTCCGCCGAATGCAGAGAGGCCGAAAGAAAACGACCGGGAAGAACTCTGGAAACTTGGGGTGGAATCCAACAGCCCCGCGTCCGGTGTGTGCTTGCAAGACTGGTGGGCAGGGGCTCAGGCAGATGCCCGTCCACCCGTGTCTGCGCAGCATTCACGGCAAGAGCTGGGAGGCAGAAGCCACCCAGGGGCCCCCGGGGGGGAGGCAGGGACACACAAGATGTGGTCAACACACGTGATGGAGTCTGACTCAGCCTTAGAAAGGGAGGGAGTTCTGGTCATGCGACAGGTGAGAAGGGTCGTGAAAACGTTATGCAGAGTGAGATAAGCCAGACGTCAAAGGATACATCTCCTACGACTGCAGCTACAGGAGGGGCCTGGAAGAGCAGACAGCAGGACGGTGGGGGCTGGGAGTTTCAGTTTGGGAAGGCGAGAAGAGTCAGACAGATCTTGGCAATGAGCGTACTTCACGCCGCACAGCTGCACACCTGAGAATGGCTAGGAAGGTAAATTTCACGCGGTGTGTACTTTGTCACCACTAAACAAAAACACCAGAAGAGGAAATCAGCGTGGAAACAAGGCAGCTGGCATCGCGCAGTCTGGACGGGCCAATACCATACGTAGATGTGCGCGTCTGCCCTCAGTTTCGGCTCCTCCGGCCTGGCTGCAGCCCTAGCTTCTGCGACAACCTGCATCAGTCCCCAGGGCTGCTGTGACCAGGGCCCACACGCTGGGCAGTTTAAACCATGCTTTCCCTCTGAGTCTGGGTGGCTGCATGTCTAAAACCAAGATGTGGGCAGGTCCGGGCTCCCGCCGGTGCTGTGAGCAGAGCGCCCTTTCCGCCTCGTGCACGGTGTGGCCCAGCTGTTCTGCTGGAGCCTCTGTGTCACACGCCGTCTTGTCCCCAGCATCTCAGATCTCCTCCCTCTGTGTCTGCAAACAGATTTCCCTCTGTTATGAAGGCACCAGTCACAGAGGACAGTCACCTGTCCCAGCTCTGGCAGGACCTCACCTTAACTAATTCCACTTGCAATAACCCTGTTCCCACAAAAGGTCCCATCCGAGGGGTACAGGTGTTAGGACATCAATACATCTTTTAAGGGATACAATTCAACACGCAACACCACCCAAATGAAGATGCGGTATTCTTGAACATTGGCTATTTTTTTTACCGACTCCTGAAATTACACGTGAAAACCTGGACAAGGATTTGAGGCTCTGGATGAAGTTAGCTGCCTCTGGAGAAGATTTATTTCTGCTGCTGGCTGGTGGGCAGACTAGAGGCACTGACGATCCCCCTATCTCCTCATTCCATCAGTACTGAAATGATTCAAGTCAGGACTCTAGTCTCCATGAGGGCTGGTCTAATTCAAGATCATCCCTTACTCCCCAAGTACTGACTTTTGAGCCTGGGGTATTGTCCAGGGTCCTTCCAACTTGGCTGGTCCCACCTCTAATTTCTGCCCCCAGCCCTGTGAATCTGGAAAGATCTCTCTGCCCAACTTCCATCCAAATAAGCTGGACTACCACCACCAGAAAGAGAGCTGCTCAGCCTCTCACTGGCACTGGAGACAGAAGGCTTGGCTGCCCCCACTGCTGTATATGGTTTCTGCCTCTCTACTGCAGGGGCAGGGGACAGCCAGGGACCTGACTCTAGTCTTAGAGCTGGCAAGTAGTCCCGAGTCCCCGGCTTGCTCTCTCTAGGTGCCCTTCACCTTACACTGCAGCAAAATCTTTGAGTTTCTTCCTGCTCTAAAAGTTTCACAGTCTCTACATCCCTGCCAGCACTTACACCAGACAAGCCAGATTATACACTCTTCTGTGGCTCCGTTAATGCCCAGCCCAGTGACAAATTACAACCTCCCTTCTCCCAAGAGCATCACAACAAAGGGACCTAAGCCATAACTGCATGGGTTTCACTTGCAAACAAGGCTGTTCAGCTTCTCGAACTATGCCCATTCATATTGTTATTGGCTGGCCTGGCTACTACACGTGCAGAGCTGACGGGGACCCAACGGATGCCAAGGCTAAAAGTCCAGGAGAGAAGCCCAACCCCAGAGAAGAAAGGAGTCATTGTAAGGCATCACTGTGCCTAAGAGCATGCAATAAATAAACAGGGGAAGAGGCCTGAGTCATAGTAAAGGACTTAAACTGCTCATTTTTAGAAAGAAGGATGCTGTGTGTTCAACAACAGGTCAAGGCTGGAGAGGGCCAAACACCAGCCCGTGGCTTTTCAGGAAGTACAAGGGCGGGCTTTCCTCAATGGAGGAGGAGAGCAGAAGGAACACACATCTTCTATTTGTTTTCACAATGGACAAAAGACCAGTGATTGAAAATAATGACAGGCAAACGCATGATCCTACTTCTGTATGCACAGAGAAGACCTAATGCAGCCACTCCCTTACACAGAGAATGTTCTCCTGCACAAACCCACAGACTCCGGCTCAAGTTCCCCACGGCCCATCCTCTATGTACCTGTCTCCCCTGTCTCCACTGCTCCCCCAACACGGAGCTCCTGTCTGTACCTCTTTTCTGCAGGATGCCGGTGTCTCCCATGTAGTGTGCCTCCCTGTCCTTGCGGTATCTGGACCCATCAGAGAGCAGAGCAATCTATCCCGAAGGCTGTGTTGCAGCCAACACCCCTGGAGGGAGTCCTCACCAGGCTTCCCAACATTCCAGCAGAACACACTAGCTGTACGTCAGCCCTTACTTTTGCCAGGAGACCCTGCTAGCAGTGAAAAGGCACCAGCCAAAGCGAGATGCGAGTGCTAGCTCTGCCCCGTCTAACACTGCCCACCCAGGCTCCACTGGGAGCCTACTCTGCATCAGACACCACTGGGCAGTAAGGGGAGAAAGGGGACTAAGACATAAGAGATGTCCCCTGGGACAGAGCTAAAATCCAAAGAGTGCCCCTGCGTCCTCAGCTGCTAGTGAGGGTGCTGGACCAGGTCATCTCTGAGGTCTCTCTTGACTTGAAAGCACTTTGGCTGTCTGATCCGTGGGATGGTGCTACGGGCTGGCCACAGTCTCTGTGTGGCCGTGGACAAGCGTGGCCTCTCGGGGGCCCCCTTCCCACATCGACAGAGCAAACAGGTGAGACTCGCACGTATCCGCAGTTACCTTATGCAGCCAAAGCGGAAGGCTTCCGGAATCACCTTGCAGGGAACCCTGCTGAACAGCAGCCCAGCAGTAGGAATCCACAAAGGCAGCCTGCCTCCAGGAGAAGGAGCTTGGGGAGAAACAGCTTATCTGGGTACCTGAGAAGCAAAAACAGATGGTGCCAAATAAATGTGAGTGCAGGGTCTGGACCCGCCCCTCCACCCCCAGCCCTCCCTCCTGTGTTAGCGGAGTCACACAGCGCCATGCCAGGCAAAGGTTACAAAGAAAATCCGGCGCCGAGGTTTACACTTGGGCTGAGTATCTGAGAGATTTTCGGCTGACATGAGTCGTGAGGGCAGCTTGAGCTCTGCTGGGGAAGGCTCTGGAAAGAAGTGAAACCACCATATAAAAAAGAAAAAATGGCCAAGAAAAGAACCAGGGCCCAAAGCGTTGCAGGGAGACATGTACAGGACTGCTTGAATGCACGTGAGGACTGAGAGAAGAGAGGGGTGATGGGGCAGGGGGAGGGGGAGGAGGGTCGGTCAGAAAATTGGACTAGCGGAGGAGTCCTTCAGAACAGAGAAGTCAGGGCTTCGAGCCTGACGAAGGGAAGGCCAAAGGAGCGTCTGCTGATGGGTCACTGGAGGGCAAATCAGGAGTTTTCTGTCTCCTCCATGGAAAACGGTGGCATAGGCGAAAGCACAGCCTGAGTGGGAGTGCGCAGCCCCGCAGACAGGGGGACGGATGCGGGGGGGGGGGGGCGAGAGAGATGTGGGGAGCAGGTGCACAAGGCAGGTGCGGGGACCCGCAACTCAGGCCCAGAGCAGCTGCGCCATCTTACACTCCCTGCACGGCCAGAGAGATGCCAAGTGCTTGGGCTCTGCTGCTGGTTCTATTCAAACCCAGCCCTGCCAATCACAGCTGGGTGACCTCAGGTCGCTTCGCCTTCCCAAGCCAAGGCTCCCCAAACAGACGCTGGCCTTGATGCCTGCATTCTCCATAAGCGGCCTGGTTCCCAGGAGTTGCTCAGTAAGCATTACGTTCTTCTGTATGAAGTAACTAGCAAGTGCTCTTATTGCTTGAAAAGTGGGGGGACACCCACTCGAGACAGAGGGGAAAGGGACGGTAGGAAGGCACCTGGGTGGACTTCCCTTGTCTCTGGGACAGAAAAAGCCCCAAAGAGTCACCTCGCTCTGGGGAGGGGGAGGGCTTTATACTTGTGGCAGGAGAGGGTAGTAAGGGGGGGGGGCTGTTGTCCAGGGAGCAGAGTCTGATGGTGGAGGAGGTACAATGGACCCAGAGCAGTTCCCCTTCATCGGGGACTTCTGTGCCCGGAGACATTAAGAAAGGACTTCTTAGGGGGCGCTTGGGTGGCTCAGTTGTTCAGTGTCTGCTTTCAGCTCAGGTCATGATCCTGGTCCTGGGATCAAGCCCCACATCCGGCTCCCTGCTCTGTGGGAAGCCTGCTTTCTCCTCTCCCACTCCCCCTGCTTGTGTTCCCTCTCTGTCTCTCTCTCTCTGTCAAATAAATAAACAAAATCTTTAAAAAAAGAAAAGAAAAGAAAGGACTTCTTGGCAAGAGCCCTTAGGGGAGATGGCTGTGAAAATTCACACACCATCTGAAAGTGTCTGACAATTGGGTACGTTTTTGCCAGCTGGGAATGGCTTAGACATGAGTTGGGGGTAGGTCCTAGATTTCCAGGACCTTTTAATTCTCATATCGCATTGAACTTGAGTTCTTGCATTTTATAAAAATAGACTAGCTGGAACAGCGCAGAACCATGGGGCTGACTTCACAAAGCTCTTGTGTTAGCATGACTTCGCTAAATGCTGCCCGCGCAGTCCTACCCACCGAGGCTGACCGAGCCCAGTGGCAGACACAGGGAGGCAGCCCCGGGGTTATAAATGGGATGGGCAACTGGCCCAGAGAAGAGTGTCCAAGTGCTTGCTCATGAAAATGGGCTGTGCTAGTAAGAGTTCAGGAAAATCTGTCCGTCCCATGTATCCATTAGATACAGTCCTTGCTGTGCGCATAGCCAACATGTCGTAACATTCTTTCTACAGGAGAGTGTGCAGCAAGTCCTATCTTGGGACTTCCCAAACCTACCCCAATGTGCTGGCAGAAAACGCCAAAGCATAAATAACTGAACTGTTTATACCAAGGCTTTTGCAAAAGAGGAAGAAAGAGAACATAACTGAGTCTAGAGAGACAGAAATTATGGCGGTGCTGAGCTCAAAAGTAAACGTTCTTCGTCTGCAATGGAAGGTCAGAAGAAAACACAACAGACAGCCAATATTCACGGGACACTCAGCAGCCCTTAACTCACTGCCTCCTTTCAACCTCACACTGAATCAGAGAGGGAGGGAGAACACGATGCCTTCTCTTCCTTTCGCCCTCGATTCAAAGTCACCCCTACCCGAGCTAGTGACTGGTGATGGCAGAGTTTTAATCCCTGTCTCTTAAGTCCTCCCCTCTAGGCCAGTTGCTCCATCGAGGGCACACTGGGGAGGTCCCGGACCCAGCGTCTGCAGGAAACGAGGTGGTTTGGGAAAGGGGTCCCTCCAAGTGAGCAGGAGGGGCAGAACTTTCTGGGAAGACTCAAGGACAAATCCAGGAAAGGAAACAGATCAAGCCCTGAGGGGTATTTCTGGGCCAGCGGTCAGAAACAAAGGAAGCCCAGAGCCAGGCAGCAGCTGGAGCCAAACTGATGGGAGTAACTGGAAGGGCAGAGCAAGAGGGCCTGGGCTTGCAGGCCCTGCAGCTCTGCCTGGCCGCGGGCAGCAGACCAGCCTGGCTTCCGGGCACACACCTGCCAGGTGCTCAGCGGCCGCCGGAGCCTAGGACGCCGGGAGCTGGAGCGTCCTGACTCATCTCTCCAGACGTACTTCCACCACCTTCATCTCACTGAGTCTTCAAAATCATACATAGGCACCTAAGTATGGTGCTTTGTATATTTTCTACTGTGTCTAGTACAGAAAGCTTCTGGGTCCAAAAGAAAAAATAAAAAAGGGCACTGAACCAAATTAATTCACCAGGTCTCTGTTTTCCACACCCAAGACTGTTTCTTTCTTTCTTTTATTTAAGAGAGGGAGGTGGGGTGGGAGGAGCAGAGGGAGAGGGAGAGAGAGCACCCAAGCAGGCCCCATGCCCGGTGAAGAGCCTGACGTGGGGCTGGAGCTCATGACCCCGAGACCATGACTGGAGCCAAAATCCAGAGTCGGACGCTTAACCAACTGAGCCACCCATGCACCCCCCAAACCCAGCTTTTTAAAAAGAACCCACCAAGGCTAACATTACCCAAGACGGGCATAATCAAGTGTTATCTCGTCAATGAGTTCTGAGCCCCAAGGCACTACCCATCCCTGCTAGAAAGAGCAGAATGAATGGTTTTTCCCTTCGGGGCCCAACAAATTAGACAGAGGCCCCATCAGTGCACAACACCCTCCCTAAATGGACAGGGAGAATAGCTCATACCTAGCAACCTCTGGTCCAAGACGGGTGACCACAACACCGCACAGTCAAAGGGAACCCGTGACCAAGCTGGCAAGCCGCAGACGGAACCTACGTGGCTGCTTTCATTCATTCAAGCACTGATGGCGTAAAGAACAGAACAGAAAACAGGTTGCTAAGTGCAGAAGCAGAAGGAGAAAAGGAAGCTGGACGCAGACCCTGGCCCCACAGAACCATGGAGCCAGATTACACCCAGAAGAAAAGACTGGAGAACTAAGCAGCAGGCTGAGTGGTTCTTCTCCTGTGGGGGAGAAGCCAGAAAGTCTACACCACGGGAATGAAGGGCTTGTATAAAGCTGGTGTGAAACCTGACGACTGTCCAGTGAATAAAATTCCCATGACCTGGATACCAGGGCAAAAAAGGCACGAAAAGAACTCAATGTTCCAGGAAAGATGCAAAGTAGGACTCCATATATCTACATGTTATTTTCTTTTAAAACTTTTGACATCTGAGATTAACTCAAATATGCAGAAGATTACAGAAAATAACAGGAGCGTATGTGATATGGTGAGTGCTGTGAAATGTGTAAGCCTGACGATTCACAGACCTATACCCCTGGGGTAAATAATACATTATATGTTCATAAAAATCTAAAAAAAATAATAATAGGCACCCAGGAATTTAAAGCAATATGAACATTTTGCTGTATTTACCCTGTTTTCTTTTTTCTTTTAATTTTTTATAAACATATATTTTTATCCCCAGGGGTACAGGTCTGTGAATCGCCAGGTTTACACACTTCACAGCACTCACCATAGCACATACCCTCCCCAATGTCCATAATCCCACCCCCCCCTCCCAACCCCCCTCCCCCCATTAACTCTCAGTTTGTTTTGTGAGATTAAGAGTCACTTATGGTTTGTCTCCCTCCCAATCCCATCTTGTTTCATTTATTCTTCTCTTACCCCCTTAACCCCCCATGTTGCATCTCCTCTCCCTCATATCAGGGAGATCATATGATAGTTGTCTTTCTCCGATTGACTTATTTCACTAAGCATGATACCCTCTAGTTCCAACCACGTCGTCGCAAATGGCAAGATTTCATTTCTTTTGATGGCTGCATAGTATTCCATTGTGTATATATACCACATCTTCTTTATCCATTCGTCTGTTGATGGACATCTAGGTTCTTTCCATAGTTTGGCTATTGTAGACATTGCTGCTATAAACATTCGGGTGCACGTGCCCCTTCGGATCACTACGTTTGTATCTTTAGGGTAAATACCCAGCAGTGCAATTGCTGGGTCATAGGGTAGTTCTATTTTCAACATTTTGAGGAACCTCCATGCTGTTTTCCAGAGTGGTTGCACCAGCTTGCATTCCCACCAACAGTGTAGGAGGGTTCCCCTTTCTCCATATCCTCGCCAGCTCTGTCATTTCCTGACTTGTTCATTTTAGCCATTCTGACTGGTGTGAGGTGATATCTCATTGTGGTTTTGATTTGTATTTCCCTGATGCCGAGTGATGTGGAGCACTTTTTCATGTGTCCGTTGGCCATCTGGATGTCTTCTTTGCAGAAATGTCTGTTCATGTCCTCTGCCCATTTCTTGATTGGATTATTTGTTCTTTGGATGTTGAGTTTGCTAAGTACTTTATAGATTTTGGACACTAGCCCTTTATCTGATATGTCATTTGCAAATATCTTC